CAACAAGTGAAGTAATTATGAATAAATGAGTTCATAGTTAAACGTAGCAAAGTTTAAAACTAATATGTATGTCAACTTGTATTCGGTTTATTAATTATTTCGACAAAATAGTCGTGTCGACAACGGTCTAATTTTTCCAATTTTCAACAGAAAATCGAAGTTCATGAAACAAAAATAGTCATTATTGCTATAAACAGTTTTGAATAAATCTTTATTATTATTTGCAATTTCAATTATTAAAGTAATACAAACGATGAGCAAAATAATTTGGTAGATCACCTAAAATGAGAGAAAGTTAGCAATTCATCCCATACTCTTCACGTAAGAATAAAAAACCATAAAAAAACAAAGTACAATATCTTAAACAACAATAAAACATAGATAAACAACTATCACAATTATATACCACAAAGTATGAAAAAAATAACTGAAAATCAATACTAAAAGAGATTAAAACATCTTTCTTTCTCTTCTCTCTAAATGCCTTTGAATCAACAGAGAAATTAGAAAATAGAAATAACATCGAAAAAACATTACATATATATTATTGAACGTACCAATCGATAATTATTTAACAATAAAAAAAAAATAACTAAAACATCAATTTATTATTTATTGATTTTGATTTCAAATTTTTTTTCTTTTTGAGATCATTTTAAATAGTTAAAATTTAAAACTATTTCCAAACATTGAGTGTATTTAATTTTTGTTGATAATATGAATTTGAAAATAATTTTTTTTGTTTATTTTTTAGCCAACGTGTTAATTTTTTCTCCGTAAAATTTTTATCCACTATTTTCAATTGTAAATAGAGAAGTTTTGGTAAATTTTTCATAAGTAATTTTATTGCACGTTTAAAATCATGAAATTTTTCTATAGAACCAATAAATGATTCTAAATTAGGATATGTATTAATAATATTTTCAATTGTTAATAAATTTTCATATGATTGATGAGCTAAATGTATAGTACGAATTTGTTGAATTTTTCCATATTGATATAGTTCAAATGATGAATATAATGTTAAAGAATGAATATTTGGTGCATATTCAATAAATTTTATTAATAATTCAAATGTACAATATCGTCCTATAAGTTGTAAATATTCAAGTTTTAACCAATTAATTTTACTATTTAAAAAAATAATTAAATTAGATGATTGAAATGGATAAATATGAGCATTTATAATTAATGAATTAACATTTTTATAATAATTATTATCTTTTATAAAAATTTTATTTAATTCTTCATCTAAATCACCATTAATTGTTAAAATAATTTTTTTTACATTTGGATGATAATTTATTGGTAAATTTATATTTATTTTACTAATTAAATTTGTATATAAATTAATTGTTGTCTGTTTTAATGGTACAGTATAAACATTAAGAAAATTAACATAAGCATTATTTTTATAATGTTCAAATATAATTGATAATTTATGTTTTGTCATCCAATCTAAACGTAATGTTTCATCATCAAATATTGGACTAATATAAACATGTAAAATAAAATCAATTTTTATTAAATTTGGTAATAATGAAAATATTTTATTCCAACGTTGAGCATCAATATATTCAGTTACTTGATGAAAATCAAATGAATAAGAAAATTTAAATGATAATTTTTTTAATTGTGGTAAATTAATTAATAATTGTTCAATATATAAAAAATCAAGAGAAAATATATTTAATTTAAGATAAATTAATTTTGGTACAAGTAATAATAAACTATCATTATAAGATATTAATGAATCTGTTTTATAACATGATATATTAACCATTAATTGTTTAATATTAGGTAATAAATAAAAGAGTCGATTTAATGTATTTATTGTACAAAGATCAATTGTTAAATTTTCAATAGTACTTTTATTAAGTTTATCTAAATCATTTAACTGAATTTCTGGTAAATGACAAATTTTTAATGTTTTAAGATTAAATATTAATTTTAATAATAATTCTCTTTCAATATTATCATTTGTAAAAAAATCTCCCGATATAATTGATAATTTTTTAATATATAATAATTTTGGTATAATATATTTTAAATCTATTGAATTTGGTTTAATTAATATTAATGTTTTAAGTTTTAATAATTTTTCAAAATTAAATATTGAATAAAATAATTTTATTGCATCAATTGTATTTTCATTTGATAATTTTAATGAACATATTTGATTAATTGATAATGGAATAATATTTTGACAATAATATTTAAATTTTAAATAAGATAAATATTCTGTTGTTAAATCAAAATGTTGATCAATATATTTGAATAGAGAATTAAATCGATAGTTTAAATTATAAAATGTATGATATAACTCGAATGAAGTCAAATATTTAAATATATCAAATAAAAGTTCATTAGGAAGAATTTCAAAGTTTGACATCTAAATTAAAAAATATTTATATCATAAATAATTACAATTAAAAAGACAGATGAGATATATATGTTTAGAATACAAATTATAGTCTATTTACTTTATGATTGTCATCTAACAAACAAAATATCATTGCATTCAAAGGAGATTATGAAAAATTTGCATTCATGGATAAACTAAATTATTCTTTACTATTTCGGTATGCAACATGTGTTCATATTGACTATAGATTTACAATGTTTATCTTTTCTCTCACTAGTTCAGGTCACCATCTAGGTTAGGTAACGATTGATTGCGAATTCTCTGTTATTTTCTGACTACTATTCGTTTCAAAATACAATTTACTCGATTGTTTTTTTAATAGCTTTTGTTGAGACAAAAAATTTGCGCTGTTTAGGATTATACCTTTTAGTTTTGCTTGATTTTTCAGGGAACGCGACTTTTCTCGAACCACCACGACTGGACTTTGTTCTGGTTTGATAATCTCAAAAACACAGAATATATAGATAATCGATGCTTCTGACTAACGTGGCAACGTTTATTTTCCTATAAAAAGTAAAATAACTTTGACTGCTGAGTTGGGAAAACCGAAAGTTTTTGTTTCATTTCGAACAAAAGTTATTAAAAAAACTTCAAGGTCATCATTCAGGTTAGGTAACGATTGTGACTCACTCTCATGGCATCCGGGGGGGGGGGGGGGGGGGGGGCGCCGGGGGGGGGGGGGGGGGGGGGGGGGGGGGGGGGGGGGGGGGTGGGGGGGGGTGGTGGGGGGGGGGGGGGGGGGGGGG